TTTTTAATATTTGTACAGACTGCATGGCTGATAAGCATTTTATCATATAATTATTTTGCTGTTAGAGTTCTTAACTATCAGTAACACTTCGTTTTAATGATGCAATGACGTAATGTATCACCTTATCATCTAAACAGCATTAAGAATTGCCAAAGTGGGGCTAGACTTTTCAATTTCAAAACCATCACGCCTTTAGCTAATTTTACACATGTATTTGTCTTCTGCCTTGTCTGCATGCAGCACCCTTCTTTTAACAATTTTAGTGAACTAGCCACACTACTATGGTTCACTAAAATATTCACTTACCCAAAGCTGAGACCAACAGCCAGAAATTGATGTTGTCTGTCCTTTCCCTTCTGGAAGCAGGAAGCTTTCTGGCAGTCATGAATTTTCCATCATCTCCATTCAGTGACAACAGTTATGTACGTTTAACCTCTGCTCTCATTGACTCATTCTGTCCTTTGCTTTGCTCTGTACATTGCAGGTCTGAGGTTACTAATACCTGAAAACAATGGGGAAAACAAAAACAAGTAAAAAAATTATGTGAAGCATAGGAACTACTTCTGTGTACTTATCTTTCATCTTCCCTTGCTGGAGGAGTAAAATGCCCTTGTTCAGTAGCTGGTCTCCATATTAATAAAATGAAAAAATATATCTATTTACAAGATACATAGAAAGTAATTATTGTCTCTTTGAACTACAGACTGAACCTACAAAAACTGTGGTCTCTTACAGAGATTAAAGCTGGTCTACCGCACTGCCAGGCTAGTAAGTCTTAGGACCTGGAATAAGTCAGCAAGCACAGTATTTTTAGTAACAATACTTCAGATTTCACAGTTCTATCAGCTTTTATAACTAGTCAGTTTAACATAATATCAATTTTCCAGCAAAAATCTTATAGGAGATTTATTTGTTCAGATTGTTGATTTTTGTTGTGTAAATACAGAGCTATCTGTATTTAATAATGTAACACACAACTATTTCCCCTGATCAGGTCTATGGATTTGCTGTACATGACTTTTCGCAAGAATGTTTGAGTTTAGATTTGTTTAGTGTCTGTGGAAATATTTACTTGGATTAGTCAGGAGATGAGGTAACATCTAAGAAAATCTCCATTTCTTGGCAATGTACATTACTGCATGAAGAGAACTGTTAAGAGAATAAATACTGAAAAATACACAAAATACAATTTAAGCATACAAAAAAAAAAAAAATCAAATGCTTCAGATAAGATTATTTCTCAGTTTAACTCTACAAACGTAAGTAAAGAATGTTAAGTCTCTCCCTATACAAACATGCATAGAATTCAGAAGCACATACTGCTTAATTTCTTGATTCCAGTGAACTGGTGAAAGAAAACAGAAGTATACATTCACGTTGCTGTTCTGTATTACATAACAATATAAGAAAGATAAGCAGTCTGTCTAAAACTCAAAGACTATGCAGATCCTTCACTGCAATTAGGAGAACAGAATGAAAATGGCTTATAGGTAAATTTTCTGTCTCACTACAATTCTTATTTTACTTTCTTGAAAGTCTAGGAAAATAAATAATTGAATTTGTTTGCATTTTGAAACTGAGACTGGAGAGAGACAAGGAAAAAAAACCAAAGGCAGGTTTTGATTCAACAAATGAATAACAAAAAAAATTCTGTATCCTTGGCAGATGACACAACCAGATCATGAGAGAAAAATTATACCCTAATCAGATTCACATTGGAATATATTCTTCAGGACAAGACAAAGAATGATAGCGGACCATATTGATCATGATGTCTGCTTCTATTCCAGAAAGAAAAAAGTAAATAATATATCTATTTTAGGGTTCATACAGTACAGGCTAACTCCCTGGGGGACTGTAGGAATTCTTCCTCTCCTCTATTATTGACATAAAAAGTCTCTGTTTGGAGAAACACTTACAAATTACATCCACATCCCTGAAGGTAGCTCAGGACAGGGACTGTCTTAGATGATTTGAAAACATTTGAATCTTGCCTTTTCTGTTGTAGTAAGACAAGAATATCTTTTAACAACACTGTAATGGGGAAACAGACATAGATGTCACATTTCTCTCCCCATGGAGGGGTCCCGCAATTGCCTGCAGCAGGGTCCTTTGCTGCTTTCTGGTAAAATGGCAGTGGTTTGTTGTTTTTTTTTTGTCAACTGGTGAAACTTTGCTGCTGCCCCATCAAATTATAGAGTTCAAACAATGTTAAGGGACTCCATAATCTCACACAGATGCACTTTTTACAGTCCACAGGTTAATTCAGTTCTATCCTTCATCCCCACCAAATTCTTCAAAAAAAAAAAAAAAAAGAAGCTGTGCTTTTTCAAAAGAGGCGTTGAGCCTTAATGCCAATACATCGATTATCATGGAGGGTGGAAAAAAAAAGCTCACGTCAGCAGTTACTACCTACATGTTCACATGACCAGTGTTTAAATGGGTTGTGTCACAGTTATAATCTGTTAGCTGACGATGCTGCCTGATTTTTTTTCTAGAAAGATCCAAAAGTATGTAGATGTGAAAAAAGATGTTCATGATTCTACATAGGTCTATTTATTTCCATGGAAACTGCAGCAGATACAAAGAGCACAAGAACACTACTCGATAGAGCAAATTCTCAGCTGCAAAACACTATTTTTCAGCACTGTCACCACCATTAGTCCTGCATTTTCACCAAAGACGAACAAGAGCCTGCATGCTGTGCTTGGAACAATCTACACCAGCAGAGGTGACTCACCGTCACCATTGCTGAAACTCATCACCCTCCACCTCACTGTGTCCACATCCACTGGTTGGTATCTACAAGTGATTAGCAAGTGTTGATGAATGTCAGTGGGTGCCATTTTTTTCTGTATGGAGGAATTCAGTTACAAACTTTTGCTTCATCTGCACTTCCATGTCAGATGCCATTCTGTCACATAGAATCAAAATATAATGAAATATTGTCAGGAAGGTTCAACCTCTACTGCCAAACCACCAACTTCTACATCTGATGTCATGAGTCAACAGAATAAAACAGGAGGCATTACTTCTGGATATATACCTTGTACGTATCTTATTTCTACCCCTCCTTAACTCTATTCCTTTGACAGCCTGACTCAGTGTCAGCAACCTTGAGGGTATTCTTATGTATTTCTACTTCACATTTTTTGTCAAAGTCTCTTAAGTCTGCAACTCAAATTTTCTTTTTACAAGGAAAATATCACTCTTAAGCATGCTGTAAATCTCTTGCCCTGTAAGTGAACCTTTGTGCGCTGCAAGATGAAGTCTGGCCCTTGCTGAATGGCTATTTCAGCAATCCACATATAGTGAATTTCACATGTCCTGGCTCTAAGGGTCTTCAATAATTCATTACAGTTTTCCATTAATATAGAGCTCAGACTGCAAGAACTGCCAAGGGAAATGAACACCCACAATTCATGTTTTCAGGACACTTGAAATCTTCCTGGTAGCGTTGAAAGCCTTGGCCTTCGTAGTTTCAATTTCTTTGCACTTACCAAAAGCACAAGATGAAATCTTGTTCCAAGTAAAAGCTGATGGAAGTTTTGTTATTGATTTCAAGATTTCACTCAAGAAATTCAACCAATGACGTTAATGATGCACTGTCTTTGACCATCAGTGTCTAACTATGTACCATGAACCAGGCAAGACATAGTGCCTCTGCCAGGGTGCGTTCATTGAACTCTGCTGACTGAGACAGTTGCCCTTGTCCCATTTTTTGTGTTATGTTCAAGTCCATCCTTGATCTGCTTTCCATACAGTGGCCTGAACTATCTCACACAGATAGAGATAGCTCCCTCAGATGTGGAAACTACTTAATATGCTGCCCAGTCTGTCCGCTGCCTAACTCTGGATTACTTTCTATTCAGTGTTTCTTCTTGTGAAACTCCTCTGCACATTTCCCTCTCTCTGTGCAGTATCTGGCATGCATACACAACAGTCCAGACTCTACCCCACTGTTTGACGCCCTTTTTCATAAGTACCTAGTAGGTACCAGAAGTTGCAACATGCATCATCTTGATGCATATAGAAATACAGATATATGAAAATATAGATATAGAAATACAAACACTTCTAGTGTTAAAATAACTCAGTACACTTTCTAATGCATTCCATGTACGTAGATGGTCTTTGTGACAAAAAGGGCACTGCAAAACATTCAACAGAACTCTTTCCATTTGGTTGTTAAATGCTTAAAATTGCTACAGTCACTAACGGGCACCTCTGCTAGTGCTAGAAGCATAAGTGCCCTAGCAATCAATCCTCTGCCACACATGTGCCCAGAGCAGAGTGTGACTGTGATATCTGCTCACTGTCAGAAGATATTCTTGGATATCAGGTATTTTGTACATTTGCTCTTCATCTCTACGTTGATTTAAGCTTCCTTGTCTAAAACCTTGATTAGAAAAAAAATAGTTATCCTGTTATCCCCTGCCTCCATGAGAATACAGTGTGGTCAGGCTCAGATGACATGGGTAAGCACACTGACATGGGTAAGCACACTGACATGGGTAAGCACACTGACTGACACGCTTCATAGTACAAGGGCTACTTCACAGAGAGATAAACTGAAATAGTTTTGCTATGGAACAATTCAGCCTTCTAACTACTGAGTGTTCTGAGGAGTGGCCATCATGATTGGGCAGCATTTCGTTGTTGCCTGTTGGTTTTCTAGATAGCCTAATAATTGAGAGATTTTTGCACAGAAGCAAACTGTTTGATAGCTCCTGAAGAGAACAGCTCACTGGATCTCTTCTTTGTAGTTACTAACAAGATAGTCACTTTTTTTTTTTTTTAAACTCACGATGCATCATGAGACAAAGCATAAGCTGAAATGCAAATAAAACAAAATACTTCTCAGTTTGATTTTCCTGTTTCTTAAATATACCATATAATTGATTAAATATACCATATAATTGCAAGTAAACAAACTGTAATTTAAAATCTGACAACTAAGTATTTATTAATAAAAATACTAACAAGAGAGAGATGTGGTTTTGAATCTGGACTTGAAAAAGTAACAAGCTGAGAGCTTTAGAAAGGATGAGAAATGACTGATTCAGTTTAAACAAAATAAGCACACCCTTGAGACAGTCCAGCTGAAACTTTCCATTAAAGTGTCTAGGAGTGCTCAGTACCTGGCAATTTCCAGCCAAATTGCCAGAACAAATTAGCAGCTGTGCTTTCACTGTGCATCTCAAACACATAAAATCCATACAAAAACAGGCACTATGACAATGGGTAAAAACAACATTAAGAATTGCACAAGGAAAAAAAAATCACTTAGAAGAAAGAGTTTCTGCTATTTTGAGTAGTGTTCAGAAAACGAGGAGTTTTATCAAACTAAACTTGATACACAGGAAAAAATAATTAGTTGAGTAACACAGAGAAAGCATTTAGTGCTATCTTCTTTCGCTTTCTGCCTCTCTCCATGAGAAAGACGAGAATGAGAAGAGAGGAAGATGTTACATCAACCATCTGGAAATAAAAGATGCACAGGAAGATGTTTTAGGCCAATTTATCAGAAATATCTTGCACAATCTCTAAAACGGGAAGGCAATCATTTCTTGTTTGGCTATGACACTTCTGCCACAAGTACTGACACCAAAGTTCACTGTCTAGGATAAATACAGCATTAAGTTTAGCAAGTACTGAATCTCTGTCACAAATACCCCATCTTGTACAAAATTCCTAGCTGGGGGTCAGAGCAGATGCGACAACTGTCTCTACTGTCAGCATTCAGAAAGTTTTATTCCCACATAGTTCCCTGTTTTGAAAAGTGCCAATTCTCTACTCTTCTCTTGGCATTAAAGTAAGAGATTTATGGTCTGCCATGTCGATCTTATTCCAATTGCTGCTTTCTTTAATCTTGTGAATCTAGATCACCACACACAATTGCACAGGTTTTTTTTATTGATTTTACTATTGGTTTATATGGCCTGGCTGACATTTCACAAAGTCAAATTCAATTTAAAATGTATGAAGATGTCATTATTCATCAAAATTTATTTAGCCTTTAAATTAAAGAAGAGGCTGAGTAAACTACAATATATAGTATGGGACAATTCCAGTTCACTGCTTTTACCCTTCTGAATTGCCTTACATATTCTGAAATGCATTTTACAGCAAGGGAAAAATTTCACAGACACTAATACACTTAAATATTTATTCAGGTCACACATCATTCTGCCATTCACTGAACAGTAAGCGTTAGTAAAAAACACCATTTCCATTATTCATTAGACATAGAAACTGGAGGGCAGCTCATGTAACATATCAGCTAGTGCTGGTCTTGATGTAGGGAGTTACCGAGCTACTCACAGTTAGGCACTGTTTTCAGCTAACAGGTGTTTGAGCTATGAGAGTTTCAGTTAACAGAAGTCACTCCTGAGTGCACAGCAACATCTTCAATGAGATCCCTTGTTTTCATTGGAAGTATTTCAGGCTTCCACAAATTCATAGTGTGAATTATTACTTTCTGGTACTTTCTTCTCAATCTTGGAACTGTAAAGAAAATTCATCAAAATTTTCAAGACCATTCACTAATCCTCTATTCTGTCACCCAACTCCAGGGCTGTTCTGCACTCTGAAAACATAGGCCACTCTGAAAGAAATTTGATTAATAACATTTGTCAGCATTTCAAAGGTTAAAACTAGAACTTAAGCAAGCATGAGCAATTTATCTTGCTTCTTTTTTTTAAATCTTTGTAGAGATAAAAGAAGTTCAAACTTCTATCATATATTTCTACATTAGCCTCCCTGCTTCTCCCATGAAATACTGATAATAAATTATGGTACTTAAAGCTTTTAGAGGACAAAACGGAAAGTAAATTCTAATGCATCATTTGCCTTTTTTAGAGAATCATCTTGCAGAGACAGAACAATAAATCTGCAAGACCAGCTTTGGTAAAGTCCCACCTTGCAGAAGTATCTGCTATTCTGGGCTAGCATAGTGGACATCATTCTTGGAGAGCAAATACATCTCCTTGTGTTGATTTTTAAAAATATTTCCAGTCAAAGCCTCCCATGCTGCCAGGTGCTGAATTCTGTACTACCAAGGGAGAGGAAAAGCACACAGGTCATACATTGGTCTCCAAACAAAATAAAAACTAAGATCACCACTGAATACAATAGCGCTAGCAAATGTCAACACTCTGCTTGGAATTAGATTTTTGCTCTCATTCTCCCTACACTGCAGAAAATAATTTCGGTCCACAATGATCCCACAGAGTGCAGAAAAAGTTTGATAGTAAGATACAAATCAACAAAAGCAAAAGGATCTGAATTGGATGCAGTGGCTTCCCTAAACAATTGTCAAAATTTTCTACAGAGTTTTGGTAGATGCTTTTTTCTAACTTTCCTTAGCTTAGTCAAAGGAGAGATAAATTAATTATTTGCGTAATTCTTCATATATAGCAGACATCGTATTTTAGTTAACCTGACAAAAAGCACCATCTGGTCTGGAGGAAGATTTTTTTTCCATCAGAGGCATTCAGAGAAGAGTTGAGAGCAAATCCTAATTAATACAGAAGTATACAAGAATACAAGACTGTATCATATATTAATTTAAAGTAAGAACATCACACTTGTTGCACCTGCTCAAATATTAATAAACCATAATGCTTTTCCAAATGAAATGTTAAACAGAAGTGCTATTAACAAAAGTTTAAGTTTTTTTAAAATGTTCAGCTATAATTATTTCCTTTGGGATTTTAACATCATCTAATAGGAGACAAAAAAAGAAACCTATCCTAATGTGCCTTCTTTTATGTTACTTTTGCTACAGATGAATAATATTCTTTGTCTCAAACTGAAAGACCTATTCAGTATTTGGAAAGTGAGTATCAGTGGAGAACTTCTCCACGAGTAGGTCTTGACTTAACTTCGAAAATTTTCTCTTAATTTTATTTAATGACAACACAAACACCTAATCACTGATGCAGGTACTGAGGTAAAATAAAATGTGCACTATTTAATCTATGGCATACTGATGACTGGACCAAACATTTTAAAGCCTGCACTTTGTGCTTAATACACAGCAAAAATTGATTTGCCTGCCGCAGCTCATTCTACAGCATAGTGCCTTAAGAACAGGTGAACAATGATGCTGCTTGGGATATGCCTGAAACAAAGCTTTGAGGAGAAAAAAAAAGGTACTGTAGCACAACTGGTCAATTATCACAGCTGGCCATTACAGAATCACTGAATCATAGAGGTTAGAAGGGAACATCTCTCCAACCCCATGCTAAAACAGGTTCCCTGCAGTAGGTTACAAAGGAAAGCATCCAGGTGGGTTTTGAATATCTCCAGAATCTCCAGAGAAGGGGACTCCACAGCAGCTCTGGGCAGCCTATTTCAGTGTTCTGTCATCCTTAAAGTAAGGAAGTTATTCCTCATGTTTGTACAAAACTTCCTATGTTCTTGTTCGTGTTCATTGCCCCTGGTTCTGTCACTGGGTACTGCTGAAAAGAGTATGGCCTCATCCAGTTGAAATCTGACTTTTAGATATTTATAAGCATTAATAAGATTGCTTTTCAGTCTTTTCAAAGCAAACAGTCCCAGGTATCTCAGCTTTTCCTCACAAGGGAGATGCTCCAGGATCCATCTTAAGACAAGATCTTTTGCAAGCCTTCACTGCTGAATGGTATGAAACTCAGTTTCAATTTCTCGTTACAGGCTTTTAAGTCATACACACTTATTCTACAGTTCACACTGAACATTTTTCCCCCAGAGAAATCAGATTTTAATAGTGTATATTAGTCATACCCATGTCACATTATTTCAGAATTTCTTTCGCTTCCTAAGAGGTTTGTCCCATTGAGAAACAAGTGAGCTTTACTTACGACACAAAACATTTCAACTAAGTTCAGCCTAAAGAAAGTAAAATGGGAAGGTAAAACTGACGGAGTCCTTATAAGAAAATGTTTTAGTTGGCTGAAATGTCATTTTAAGCAATTTCTAATTTTACTTTTTCTTGCCTTCAGCAAATGCAGCTTTAGCCTATTTAATAATTTGTGACTACTTCACAGAACCACAGAGCAAGTGACAGCCCACTTTGAACACGTGTTCTTTGCTACATCTCTTAGTGATGCACTAGCCAGTGATTCCAGTTTTGTAGGATTTCCTAAACTTTATGTGATAGCCCCCCAGTTCCTATGTATAAGAAATATAATACAGTAACCCAAAGATCCTCTTGCCAGCTTCTTAGCTACCTGAGGACATTTTATCCACCCATGTTTTACAGGCTACTTGTTGCACCACTGTGGGTTATTTCCTAGTTTATGTCTATAAATACCAGTATACAAGACTTACTCTGGAATGCCTCCAAAATACAGTCAGAGCTAAACTGTTTTCAAATAACTTCTTCCTTGCTTTAAGCAAAATCACATACTTTGGAATTTGTTAAGATTTCACATAAGACAGTAAAGATGCAGAGGAAGAGGGCAGTTCACTTGAAATTCAGTTTAATGAGAACTCAGTTCTTCACAATAACCTGTACAGACATTTTTTCAAACTTGTCACTCCTGTTACAGATCCACTCCTCTGTTAAAAATGTAGTTTACTCCTAGCTGAAAAGAGACATAGGACTATATCAGAAACCAGCTAGCTCACCTCAGTCATCTCACTCCAGTACTAAAACAACCACATTTTTTTTTTCCAAGTGGAGATTAGAATCCAAAGTTCACTCCTTTGACTGATATTGCAGTGAAATGTCAGTTAAGACAAAGCAATACTCACATTGAAAATCTCAACAGGAACATGCACTGTTGTGTACCACATGCACTGTTGTGTACCACATAGACGGGATTCTTCCCTCCCTGATTTTTCAGTAAGAGAAATATTCAACTGCTAACTAATCCTCAAGGGAGAATTCCCTATGCGGAATATGGAATCCTAAGATATATCCTAGGATGCTGTGACATTGCCTTTTATATCTAATTGTTTTTTGACACTCACATGAGACATTGGTTAGTGTTTTCTGCAGTTGAACAGTAAATTTCTCTCTGGACTACAGACCACTCTAAAATAAACAAAAATTCGACACAGTGAAGTACATTCACTAATTTAAAAAATATACATACATATATGAAAAATCAATTTCATCAATTCTACCTTAAAGATGTTTTGCTAAAATGAAAAATATACTCTTTCATATCCATCTTCTTATAAAAGAAAGATTCAAAAACCTTTCAGTTTACCCACCTTAATTCACATTTAGACTAACTGGTTTTGCTGACAGGATGATGAAGGTCAAAGACTGACACTGTCCATGAAAAGCATCTGAAATAGGAAGAACTGAGCAGGAAATAAATTTGAGGAAATAGAATCATAGAATTCTTAGATTTGAAAGGGACCTTTAAAAGTCACCTAGTCCAACTTCCCTGCAATGAACAAGGACATCACAGCTAGATCAGGCTGCCCAGGGCCTGATCCAGCCTCACCTTGAAAATCTCCAGGGACAGGGCATCAACCACATCTCTGGTCAACCTCTTCCAGCGCTTTACCACCCTGACTGTAAAAGACTTTTTTCCTTTCATCTAACCTAAATCTACATCATTAAGACAAAATCATTTCCCCATGTTCTTTCACAATAGATCCTGCTAAAAGAGTCTGTCCCCTTCTTACCTGTAGCTCCCCTGTAGATATTGAAAGGCCGCTATCAGGTCGCCTCAAAGCTTTACTCTTCTCCAGGTTGAACAGCCCCAGCTCTCTCAACCTGTCCACATAAGAGAGGTGTTCCATCCCTTGGAACATTTTTGTGGCCCTCTTCTTGACATGCTCCAACAGGTCCTTCTGTATGTCTCCTGAAGACTCCATATCTGGACACAGTTCTCCAGATGAGGCCTCACCAGCACAGAGTAGAGGGGCAGAATCATCTCCCTCAACGTGCTGGCCATGCTTTTTTTGTTTCAGCCCAAATCTACCTAGAACTCTTAAATTTCAGTGACCTTCTACCAATATTGTCTGGGGAAGAGAAGAGAATGTGCTTTTTCATTCGGTCCGGCAATCCACTTGAAAGGAGCTGATGCTGCAGAACATGTGGGCAGGAATAAAGCAAATAGCTTCTGGGAGGAGCACACCTCTGAGACAACTGAAATGGTCACGACTACTTTGTACCCATAATGTCAGAACCTGAGAACCAAGATAGCTGCTGATTCTCCTACTGTTTGTACTAATTGAGGAAATAGGAGATTCTGCCAGGGGTACAATTAATCTTATTTCTCTTTCTCCTCTGTTAGCCTGCAATGATAGCCTAACTACTGTAAAGGAGTATTTTGAAAGTAAGACCCAAGGGAGACAAAGATCATATTAGCAAAAAGCATGCACAAGGACTTATAGACTAAAGCCTCATTTTTCCTGAAAATATGCCTTTCTTCTACAGCATCCTTGAAGGAGAGAAGTACTGATACCCTCAGTGAGATGCCAACAGGACACAGAAAGTCCTTCAGAACTGCAATTCCACATAGACAAAATACTGTTCTGCAATAAGTCACTGCCATTATGTAAATATATATGTACTCTCCTTCCTATTTCTATAGAAGACATTTCAGAACATCTTATTTTTTTGTTTGCCTCCAGGGTAGTGGATGAGAAAATATTCTTCCTCCCCACTTCTCTTTGGAGGAGGTGACTCTTAGCATAACATTATTTCACCGGAATAACTTTATTATCAGTAGTCAGCTGGTGATAGAACCCTTTGTAAAGTAACATAGTTGATCTTTCAGAGAAACAAAGAACGGGTATTCCTGTCTTCTTCCTCTTTGAAAATTTCCCTTGGCAATGCTCTGTGACTTTCTGCTCTGTTTGGTAACAGCATCTAGGTTTTTTTCCTTCTTCCACTTGAAAGAAATGCAGGTCATCAAGACAGTGTAAGAGAAGCAAACAAAATAAAAGGATGAGTCACTTAGACATTCTCAGAGTACTTGAGGTTTGGGGCCATTGTTATCTCATGTAAAGGCAAAGTGAAAGAAGTGTAATGCCAGAAAAGACATAAATTTTGTTTTAACTTTAGTTTACACTTTGAAAAATGGAAACCACAGAAGTGCTCTACTTTAGGCAGTATTCATGCTGTAACTCCCCTACTGACATCTTTGTGGAGATGCTGAGAAATTTCATGCTTGAAAGCAATATAATTAGTAATAATGATTAAGAATTATCTTATAACTAGTACTTAAGAAAAACAGTTGCTCTTGAGAGCTTTCAATTAAAATAAATCAGAAGAAGATAAATAAAAAATGATCCAAATCAGTAATACAATACTTTGGGACATTAACTGGACCTGCTTTCATGTATTGGTAAGAGCCAGGCTCTAGCCATAATTCCACTGGCTGAAAATACAGGACTTAAAGATAGGAAAAACACTGGAGAATATTCCAAGTCAAGAAATAAATGAGCAAGTATTAGTCGATAAACAACTTCTTAAAAAGAAAAAATATGTATAAAATTTGGAAATAAGATACAATATTTTGCTAGCTCTAACAAAACTGATTAACCAATGCAAGGTTATTCCAATAAGATAATATCATATTCTTATGAAACTATCTCCTGGCAATCTGCTTCCAGCCTCTGAATCTTCGTGTCTAAAAGCTTTACTTGCTTGTTTGATTTCTATCTGCGCAGTACTAGACACTACTACTCTCTGGCTCACCAAAATGAATGCTCACTAAACCCAATCTCCAGCAGAGAGCTTTGTCTCTAATCTGAATAATCCATCTGCACTGATTACAAGACTGACTGCTTACAGCTTGAGTTACTCGCTGCCTGCTACGAACAATCAGTGGCTTTGCTCACCTTGCTTACTGTCAGTGACATTAGAGTCATTCTGGAACTGTTCTTTTATTATTTTATACCATATGCTGTTCCTCTTCAGAACACTGACAACATCTTCCGAGCATCCAGCAAAGGCATAAGGTTGTTAGTTCTCATATGTTCACTTTCTCAAGATTGTTGTCCAACATAAAAGTGTAAGTCAAAAAATCAGAGAACGGGAAGAGAATCCATTGTTAGCCCTAGAAGGGGTGTGAATCCATCCTGTTTCATTTTACAACCATATTGTGAAAGCACAGATCACCAAACCCACTGGTTTTCACTCTGCTGTCTCTATACACTCTTTTGTCTGCATAGTCTTCTTTTCAGTTAATGCACTTCACAGGCAAATCCCCATATGATCACCCGAGTACACACACACACAGCACTGTCTGGCACTTCCAAAATTCACAAGCTGACAAGATTTTGGGGCACTCCATGTCTAAAGTGATTTCTGGAGTGAGCGTTTGACAATTTGGGCTGGAATTTTTTCATAAAACAGCCCAGAGCATTCACATAATTAATCTTAATGTCACTTCCAGAAGGTTTCCAGGTCAGAGAAACTGATTTTATAGCAGGCTCCCATGCAGTGTTCCCAACCTCATTCTCTCTTGTTCATAATGTATGTACATACCTGTCCAGGAACTTATTGCTTGCTTTTACCTAAGTGCATTTTTCCACTTTTTAAGTCTGTAAATCTGGTCATTACCTTATACAATCTATTGCCCTCCCTGAATACTGCAGTGTTTAGCAGCTCTCAATAGTACTGCTGGTTTCAGATCTTATTTTAATACTTCACCTTCTCCTCTGGATCACTGTACCCAAAACACAAACTCCCTCTTCATCCATGAGGTGCCACTCCATGCTTCATTCACCTTCATTGGTTCAGAGATGTTACTCTCTCAGTCCCTAACAAACTTTCACAGCTGAAGACAGGCCCACAGTGCTGAGCACCTCAGGCTCAATCTCAAGAGATTCACATTTTCTAGCTTTTAATTCCTTCTCAAAAGAAAAACAAAAAACCCTTCATCTTAAAAACAATATCATACACCTTCAACTGTAAGCACAGATTATCTGCAAAAAGAAGAGTATTTATTTAATTTTCTCTAAGAAATGTTGCTGCATGTTCCAGGAGATGAGCTGCACTTTGCCTCAAAATCTGTCACCTGCAACTTTCCACTTCTTCTATAGCTCTGATTGTTTTACAGATGCTGCTCATCAGCATCAATCAGAAACAGATTTTCTTGCATTTAGGTTTATATTGATGCAACTAACAGAATCGGGTGCAATAACAGCAGCTGTGCATATGCACCAGATGAAAAATATTTACCCAATTTTCTGTTCAGTTTCTTTCTTATATACAGTTCTTTGATGTGGGGAGTAAGGTGGGTGTAGACACAACAAAAGGAAGTACTGATCAGATTCACACAATCTGTTAGGCCTACTGCAACAACTAAAAGTTATTTCAGCCACATGAGGTCAAAACTCTGAACGAATAAACTGTATTTGGTCTGTCCTTATTTTCATCAGCTGAGAATTTTGACCTTAATAACCTTGGTGATACAGACTTCAGGGACTATGAAGATTGGAGAACTTCATTTAGCTGCATGCCATAGCACTAAAATTTCCCCCTCTACCTGCTCTAAGTTTCTTTCCCTCTCAGCACCATCTACCAACAGAAACATAGCAGCCCAGTTACTGTCTCAGGTACACAAAGTGCTCTTGCACATGACATGCACACAGACTGCTTCTGAGCAGCAAAAAATTGCTTCGTGGGATACATAAAACGTAGAAGGAGCTGCTCAAAAGAATAGTTGTGAAATGTAGGTCCTTATTGTGCAAAGCTGTGCAGAACAGTACTCATGGCAAAGGAGAGTCAGAAGGCCCTGACAAGAGGGAGGGACCCTGAGCCACAGTGAGTCAGGTTGCAGTTAAGTGTTCCGCTGCTAGTGCATATGTTTGGTTGATTGATACAATCCTTCCTTTGCCTGTGGCAGGATAAAATCAATTTCATATAAATTGGAACATACACACAAATCTTATCACTGCTTGCAGATATATTGCCCTTAGTATATTTTCTGTTTTTTTCAATCAGCTTTATATTTATAGGGTAACTGAAAAAGAATGCTATACATTATTTATCAACATTGATTTTAAACAAGTCATTCCATTTATAATCACAAATTACCTAAGAAAATTGTGTTTATCTTACTTTTTCTCCTTAAAGAAATTAAGTATTTAATTATTAATGAAATTTTACTGTTGACCTCAGTAAACAAGTCTTCAAAAATAAGAGGGGCATAGAGATAACTAGCCATGGTACAGTTACATAATGTCATCAGTAATTCTAGTGTTTACTGCATTTCTTAATTTAAGAAAATACTGGTGCTGATTTAGAAAGAAGGCTGCATCTAATTAAGAACAAAAATAGTGCTCTGTTCCAGTATTTCCTGAATTCACATTTGAAAAAGGCTCATTTTTACCAGAGGCCTTTAATCTTCTGTCTAGACCAGTTCTGCTATGCTGACTCATTACAGTAACAGGTTGCAAAGAAAAATTCCTTGGAGGATGCTGTTCAATTACTCAATGACATTCACTTACGGATATTGATTAGACCACACATTGTTTGACTTCCCCTTTGATACTTTCTGTCACAAGCAAATGGCTACACCCTTTCTGAGAGGGCAGAGGAGGATGGAATTCATGAAAATGAAATGACTTCGAGGTTTATAAAACTTCGATTTAGCTTGAATGGAAAATGGCCAATTAAATACTCTACACAGCAAATCCCAATAAAAGAGCACAGGTTCAGATTTTCGCTCTCAACATGTAAGTAGATGCAGTAGATGATTTTGAACAGCCTCACACAATGACCAAACTAATAGTATCTGGAAATGCAAATCTGCCCAAGTACTAGTTTTCAGGTAGTTTCAGATAATACCTTCTTCAATCTCTTAACAGATTTGCATGCTCCCACTTTCAATTTCCTGAGTTTTTGATTACTTTCACCCTGTTACATTTGCTATCTTCTGATGATAGGTCTGTTATACTGCAAGAATATACATAGCTGTTCCACTAATACATTTTTCTGTTGTTTTATCAATCTTGAAAATGTCAGCTTTTTCATTACTGCAATGTTTTTTATTCTTCTAGAAATCTTAAAAGTAGCTATTATTTTTTTATGGCTTATCAGTTACAATCCATTTATATCCAGTCAAAGTGCAACAGTTCATAAAATTGTGTTGTATGATATGTGGCTGATGAGATGCTGTAAGTTATTAAGCAAACTATTTCCCTTAGTCTGCTCTTCTGAAATTATTCTTACAGCTGAGAAAGTCTTATGGTCAGGCCAAAGCCTAACTGCCTACGTCTGCTTTCCTGCTTGTTTTTATTGCTCTGGCTAATGAAGTGATCAACAAAGAGATGCAGCCTGCCAGAAACAGCATATCTCATAGCCTTAGCACTCCTGCTGACTTCCCAAGCCAAGGCAACTATAGGAGCACACAAGGATTGGACACTACTGCAAGCCCTCCAGGGCACCCACATGCAATTTCTCTCATGCTGCACGTTGCCAGTGGGCAAACAGCACACTGAAGCCAAGAGGAGATTTTGGTAAAAGTCCTACTCACGGTGTATTGCCCACCTTAAAACTTCTCTAGTGTGCCTGGAAATTTATTTTCCAGAAGGCAATTTCTGCAGCCTAACTTACTCAGATAACATAAGAACTATCATCACCACTGTTACCTGCTCAGGTCTACCCCAGCTTGTTTCCTGTGCTGCCCTTTTTTATGACAAATTTGAGTCCGAAGCCCTACTGAGTGCTCAACAGACCCCTCCACCACTGCCAGCACCCCCTTCTCATAAATGCCCCCTATGTCTCCCAACTCCACACAAACTCCCTCTATGACCTGCATCTTAACAGCGATACTTTTCCTCCCCTGCTTCCTCTCAAGACAAAGGCACCCTGCACTGCTAGCACCACTTCCCTGCTGTTATTGAGAAATCCCTCTCAACATCTGTGAAGCCATGCAGAAGGCAACGCCAGTGACTTCTCAGGACATTTCTCATCACCTGCCTGCACTTTCTTCCTTCTCGTTCTTTGCCATAGCAAGAAGACCGTAGCTTCACATCAGCTGTAAAATTAGAAGATCCTCAATCAAATGCCAAAAAACGCATCTCTATAAACTAAACGCATTAAGAGCCAGCCTTCAGCTTGTTCCTTACAGCTGTTTCACCACAATGTGTATCTGCTGAGAGTAGCAACAGGGAGAACAAAGAGTGTCAGTGGGAAAGGTATGTTCTCATCTGACCACATAGCTATTTGGAACTGGCAGGATCATTTCAATGCAGGTTAATTCCCCTTGAAAAAACAGAGATGTATGAATTTTATTACGGCTAATACACAATGACAACTAAATCCCAAAGGGATACCTGAATACAGGGGAGAAAAAAAAAAAAGAAAATGAGGGATTGCTTTGAAGTTTCTAATCCGCTGCTTTGGAGTTTCTATTTCAGGTTAACAGTGTTTTTTGAAGGACACAGTGTAGGTCTGATTGTTTAGCTTAGGGAGCACCAAGGAAGAATAAGAATAGGAATACACACGCATATAGTCTCAGGGACTCCTGACTGCACCTAGCTTTAATCCAGTAGTTGAATAAATTAATAAATTTACCAATCTGTTTAAAAATGGTCAAAAACCACTGCAGGCTGGCTGGTGCCTGCTCTGGCTTTTCTGGTCCATTCAGTATTTCTGGCACATCTGTGTCTTCACAGGGTTGAGAAATGTTGATTTTTGATAACACGGTGAGGGATTTACAAAGATATCTCTTTCCTGGAGTTTTAGGGCCGTTAGATAGAAAAGCCTGTCACTGTTGTCTCTGTAAGAGAAATGAAAAAGACAAAGAATAGGTGCTTCCATATACTTGCATCTATAATACAATACCTAAATCATGTTTCTTTCTATTAACATTTTGTTAGCTATTATGCTTTGTCATTGCTTATAAAAGCTATTGCATTGCAAATATACCAAAATCATTCTTAAGAAAAAAAATGAATAAAGATAGTAAATTCATTTCATTCCCACCCAGTTTCACTGATCAATATAGTCCATTTCCCACAATTCTGTTCCTCTCATAAAAACCTTTTATTCATGTCTTTGAGGATATATTTTAGAAAGTTTGAAGGTTTAGAAAATGACAGTCTGTCCAGGTTTTTTTTCTAACTTATCAATAATTCTCTTTTTTTCATGCAGAAGAGGAAGAAAAAAAAAACAAGAAATATAGTAGGTGTGTCACTGAACTTGGAAAGTAACAACCCGTAGATATGAGCAAGGTTTAACTTGCAGTGACTGCACTCTCATAAATCCAAACAAGTGATTTGCAGTCCACTCACACCTCCTGCTGGTCTGGGAAACATGTACCACAGATCTTCTTGCATATTATCTCTTAAATATCTCAATCTATCTCTTTTTTTTCATGCTCCTTTCCACCCAGAGCAAAAAGCACTCTCTGCCTAACCAAGAGCAGCAGTGAGTGCTGCTCTCCCACTGCCATGCATGTAGTCATGTAGTCGTGCCCTGCCCTTTCTGGGGGAACAGCTCTCATCATCAGAGCAATACTTGTGCCTTCGCCTTTGCAAGCATCTCTTCTGCCCCTCTGTCCCCTGCCTGCACCGTCATGTCCTGCACAGGGAGGCACTCTATGACTCTTTCCAGACTGGCCAACAGCTGCCAGGAGGAAATCCAGTCCTGGTGTCCTCCTTCAGCCCCACAGCACCCCCCTGAGCAAGTGGCCTGCAGCCCCTCCAGGCTCACTGTGCCCTGCATGCCCCACACTGCAACTGGGTTCAAGTGCTGCTACAAAAATCAGATAACCCCAAAGGGAGATAAATATGCTCCTCATTTTCCTTTCTATTTGCACAGTAAATTTGCATTTAGGTACAGGCATTTGATTAGAGGCGTGAAATGCGTTTTAGCATGTCCATTAATTAGTTTTCCATAATTTCAGTTTCTGCATAACTTTAGAGCACTGAGGTACTTTCACAGCTAAATACAAAGATGCGTGCAAGTATTTTTGCATCACACATGGACAGATTTACCCAACAGGACTATTGATGAGTTACAGCATACCTTAAATAATACCACCAAAAATTTATTTTGTAAAACAGAAGAGTACAGAAGTTGTGCTAAGTTTTGCAGTGTCTCATGGGAATGCTTGAAAGGAGAAATAAGTACAATATTCATACTTGGTATTCACGGCCTGTTCATTACACATTTTTAGAACCATATCTTCCCCCCCTCCCCAGTATTTAATTAAAAAGAAAGCAGAAAGAGTAGGAGGAATAAAAACCTTCTCAACTTCAATGACACTATTGGAAAATAATTATTTCAAAACTGCTTATCTGTTAAAAAGCTGGCAAGCCACCAGGATCTTGATTGCTGTAAGCAATTTTATAACTGCTCTACACAGATAAATTTAACAAAGAGAAATTAATTTCAGTCTCGTAATAAGTCTCATCTCATTACCAAAACAACGTCTTGTGCAAAGGACTGCAGGTAGAGGACTGGCATGCAGGCATTTAAAAACTGCCTCAAAAAAGTCCATCTCAGAACTCTGAATTTCATTAATGCTTCTCCTTCCTGAACATCATTTTTCCTAATTGTATAAAGCAAAATGAATCCATTTGATATTTTGCTCATTGTGATTGAGGAAGCCAGCTGACATCCTTTATTCGCAGCCTCTGAGGAACATACCCCTGGGAGCAGTAATAAGAATATCATTTCTTCGAAGAACGATATCAACTATGCTCATGTCTACCTGGTTTTTTTGTTTGTTTGTTTTTGGTTTTTTTTTTTGTTTTTTTGTTTTTTACATTCCAGAGCACATAACAGCATGTTAATTATCCATCAGGCTTATCTGTCTACAAATACAGTAACAATACAACTGAAGAATGAAGATATTCTGTGGGGAAATAGCGGTCTCTCTTCTTTATGCCTGCATACTGGCCCTTTCCTAGAAGTAGGCTTCCCATAGGACAGTTCTATTACATCCCTACATCCTTCAACACATATTTGAAAATCATTCAAAACACAGCATGACCAAGATCCAAAATACAAACTTGACATCAGATTCAGCAATAACTATGCTCTGCAAAAGAAAAAGCACAAAACAATCAGAGTACGTAATGAGCCATAAATCCTGCCCCACTAGAACTCGTGCTTGCAGCTCTCAGATGGCACTATTTGAGATGTTATGAATTACCTGCCTTTCTCCTTCTACCACTTATTGGTGATCTTGCTATAGCACATCAGCCAGGGTTTATAAAAAGGAACACGTGATGTATCCTGCTGGAACTTCTAATATGGATTTCAGCATTGCCAACACAAAATATCCCTATACGGCATTGCATCCTTGGGAGCCACAATAAAATTTTCTGCTACTAGACATCCCATTCAACAAACTGCAGAGAGCAGATACACCAGTACAGACAACATTTTTTCACGAGGCACTCCTCACACATTTGCTGATGTACTTGACCACGCAAATCAATACCTCTTTGCAGAGCACACACTGTGAGCAGCAAGAAAATGAACTGTTTTCTTTAATCCAGTATATCCTTGCTACCACAATTTCTAATTTCTTCATTAGTTTTTCTCAATTAAAGAATTAATTTGTTCATCAGTTTTGCTTCATTGGCATAAAGCCATCTACAATTTTATGGAAAATATATGCATTTAACAAAGCAGATGCTGTATTTAATCTTGAACTTTTCCACACAAGGAAAAAAAAAAAAACAAAGGCATGAATATGTCCCTAAGTTCCTTTGGTTATAATTAACACAGCAGATTTTCAATCTAAGTTTCTTGACCTATCACCTCAAAGATGTTTTTAACTGTTCCTTTTCTTGTTTCCACAGCAACCTTTCCACAATCTTTTTTTTTTTTTTCCCTCTTTTCTCTTAATTCTCTGAGGAATCAATGACTATTCAATAGTAACTTTGTTGTTGCTGCTTTTCAAAAAAACAAACGCAAAAATATTTATGTGTGTGTCTTAAAGCAAAACAACAGTTCTGGGAAAATTGTCCTTGTCCAGATGACTGAAAAATCTCATTTCAATCACAGAACTGTTGTTAGTATATCACCTTGATAGGTTTCATAATACCACAAGCTTCTTGCCTTCTAAGTTGGGGGTGAATCATTTTTGGACCCTTCTCAAATGTTTCATACTGGAACATCTGTCAACAGCACAATGCAAGACATCTTTTCTGCTTCAAATTTCTGAAGAAATGCTGAACAGAGTTAATGTCATTCTCCAGTGATTAATGCAAGCCAGTCTGTACCTAGGGAGAAATACTGAGAAGCTGTAGTTGAAAATTTTGATGGTGATCCATGTGAAGACCACCCACCTTTATCCACATTGTATGAGATGCCGTTTTAAAGGGAAAAAAAGAGCCTGAAGCAATAATCTTTGTCACTTTGTGCTGTTATTGCCATCCATTTCTTCCTTGTTTTTGTTTTCAGCACATTTTATAAAATGCACTAGAGTCAGCATTAAATACTTAAAGGCAAGTATCATAAAGTCATAGAATGGTTTAGGCTGGGAGGAACCTTAAAGCTCATCTAGTTCCAATGCCCTGCCATAGGCAGGACACCCCTCCACATCAGGTAGTAAAGATATTAGCTTTACAAGTAGAGAAAAGTTCCAGTTCATATAAATGAGTATTAAAAGGCAGACACTTTGAGACCCATTTTTTTTTCTGCATTTTGCTTGTACTTAATTGCCTAAGTAATAGATTTTGAGTGGAGAAAGGAATGTTCCTAATGTTGCGTTCCCCACACTGCAACTGCTGGTTTCTGAAGATCAGTTGAGTAGGAAAATGCAGCTGAGAGGATTACATTCCAGTTCCAGCCCAGATCTTTGCTAATAATACTTTGTTCTTTTCTTCACCATAAGCAAATACAAAGTTCAATCTCCCTATCTAATTTTTGCCTTTGAAAACATATGCCTGAACACTTTCTATAAGCCTCACTTTATGGACTGTATTTTTTAGAACAGGCTGTTAACAGCACCTATGTGGGGTTCTCCCACTGGGTTTCCAACACCTCGAAGTAAGGTAAGTTTTCAGTTTCCAGACCTCCTCAGGTTTTATGCTGCTTGCATCAAGGGGTACATTCACTATAGCAGCTGTTCCATCCGTATTTAATGGATTTTGAGCTTCTAAAATAGCTACCTGTAAAAACTGAAGAAACCGTAAGGTACAACAGTCAAAGGACTATTAATTTCAACAGCTTGGAATACAAAAATGCTTATCTTGGGAAAAAAAAAAAAAAAAAAAAAAAAACCACCCTCTTATGTTGTATGGAACAGAAGTAAAGCTGAACAAGTACTTTTCTTGAAAGATTTTTCTTGGGAATGCACTGACTTCATGAAATATTTTTCTACTGAGTCATAACCTTTAAGGAAAGTTAGCAATTTCAATAAAAGCTTTCACTGACAAGTATTTCTCAGCTCCAAACTAAACCTTCAGTCCAAACCCAGATAAAATAGTCATCCATGCCCATTGAGAGTACAGGCTGGCTTTCTGCTATTTAAGTAGACCAGAAAAGCAAGAGGTACATTTTACTCTCAGAGTGATTGGGGCTCTGACTGAATAATGCTTCAGAATTGATTTCTTTATCAGGATATGTTCTTACTTCACAGGTTTAACAGCTCTGCCTTCTGGCTTGCAGCAAACTGCATGAGGTTTGTTCTGTGCTCCCTAGGAAGTTTGCTTCTTTAGTACCTGGGAAGTTTGGCTGGGTCCGATCCCTGCTTGCCTTTGCAGCTTTTTCTGTGCAGGAGCTGCAGATTCTCAGAAGGTTGCTGCAAGTCTCTTCTGTCCTGAATCTCAGTGCACATGGAAATCTTCTCTTTAGGTCAGCAACCTAAAACTTCTCCAAATGCAGCACAACATTTACTGGAAGGAAAAGAGAAATGCATGATTCTAGGTGATCTTCAGCCCTAGAACACACAAGTACTGCTGTGAGACCTGGTAGCAAAGCACAGGAAATTAAATCTGGCAGCTTATCCTCTGCAGGGCCTATGAAGCAACTACTGGAGACACGCTCACAGAAAAATACAAAAGATAAAAATACTAAGATATGGTAAGTCAGCTTTACATCAGTGGATTTAGACTACCACTGGATACAGTTCTCCTAATTAGAGAACCGCAGAATTTGTCATTTGCTGCAGGCATTCTTCACCTCAGCATTTTGCCCACGCTTTTTTATTCTGTTCAGTTACCATTTTATGGCAGGCCCTTAGCAATACAAGTGTTCACACTCCAGAACTGTATCTATGGCCAGTGCTGCAGGACTTTGTTTGAATAGGCTTTGGTAGGGCATTTCCTCTCAAGCCAATGCTATTTACTTCAAATCATTTCCTATCAGAATCTGAGAGTCCTTTTTTACAACATTTACTTAAGTCAGTTTCCACAGTACTGCAAGAAGCTTGGTTATGAACAGTGCAGTTCATTCAAGCTAGTGCTTGAGTGAGCTGAGGCTCCTAAAACCTGACTGAAATGAGGTTTTTGTCTGATTTCAGTAGGGTCACCAGGTTTTTAATTATGTTCTTTCAGTGCCTTTTGGAAGATGCTCCAGACAAAGGCAGGACAATTCTGCCTATAAATTATCTGCAACTTCCTGAGGGGTCAGACCTCAGTAGATCTGCTGCAGTCCACTTAGAGCTAGAAGACATTTTTGAAAGATGTTACATTCGAGAGCTGATAAGGCAGAGCACAATGTGTGCAAAAATATGCTCTACAGCTGAAAATTGAGTACAAATAGCTGTGCATTAAGTCAAATACTTCCTTATTTAATTACCACATTTACATGTAAAGGTTCCTTTTATAATATCTATATTTTCAGACTAAGTCCAATTCTTAGCCCCAACTGGGTTGTTAAAGCACATTTAAGTAAAAATTACCTGGTTCCTACACTATTTTCAAGATCACTCAATCATCTGCACATAGAGACCTTCCATAAGTCTAACACAGGGCACATTTATATTTATACTTTAAACTTATTTCCTACTTTAACATCAGTGCTAGAAATAAGCTTAAGGCTAAAAAAAATGAGTTTTAAAACCATTATTGTCCTTCATTGATGCCAGATCACATCAGTTCAAGACATTTAATTTCCTCTGGCTTTTTTATTTAAATCAATCATTCCAAAAAGTTCATACGTGTTATTCTTGTAACTTTTTTTGAGTTAATAATTAAAGACACAATGACAATTACATCTAAAATAAAAATGCTTAAATATTCTAAAGCCATCTGATTTCATTATGCAAATTAGATAACAAGTTAATAACAACATTTGTAGCTTCAGTAATATGACTTGACTTCGTACTCAGACATTTCATTAATTATGTGGAAGGTAGAACAGTAAATTTAGGTCATAGGCAGGTAGCACACATATGGCAGTACACCATAAGATATACCTGTGATAACAGAATTAAAATAAAGTTTTAAATGTATATGTTAGTCACTCTCCACATTTTCAGCATTTCATATTTTTAAATTGTGCATCCTGTCTCCATACGCTCTACGGAGGCACACAAGCCCTCACACGAAGGAGCTGCTCCCTCCTGCCTGCAAGGAGACACACAGCCCTCCCATCCTACTGCCAGCTTACCTCCGTGTCCTGCATCAGCTGGGACAGAACAGAAAGACTGATTTCTTGCTAGGCATGTACATTCCATACCAGAAGCATCTGTGGGCTGCCCAGGACTTGCTAATGAGACAAACCAGGCCACAGATCCATGATCAGAAACCCGGACTAACCCACAACTACCAGACTGTTGTTAACTCAAGAGGCTGCTGGCAAGCAGCTGAATAACATCTTCAATTCCTATGCTGTTGTCCTACTTCCCTGCAATGCCACACATTTGCTCACTGTCCTACCTAGATATTACAGCACAGGCAGTGCTGTGTTCTAAAAGAGATGGATTGTGTCACTACAAAACGTAGGCAAATAACCTGCTATAGTTTTATATTTCTCCACAGCAAGGGCACATAGTGTAATAATCAACACTTAAAATGAAAGGGAGCTGACCAGTGAGTGTTGGGAAACATAAGGATAGACAAAGAGAAGAATTTCAAACTTTGAGGAAGAAATGAGATAATGCTTTCCTTCCAGAGGCAGACTGCTATTAAGACCGCGGGTTTAAGGATTGGGCACTGGCAAAAAACACAACCATTTCTGCTTAACTATCTCTCTCAGCTTGAATTAGGATAACTTTGTTAGGGAATGTAACAGCATATGGATCCGGTTTCCAGAAGACTTAACCAGTAATCATAGAGGAAACCATTGAAAATCCTCAAAAAGAGAAGGAAAAAAACACAATAAAAACACTTCAAAATATTTTTTTATTATAATGTCTCAGATAAATTTTTACCTGCAAACAAAACAAGATATTTGATGCAAGTTTTTTAAAGGCTACCTTGAAAGAAGAATGACCTTGAATAAGACAGGAAAACGTACAGTTTGTAATAAGGAAGAAGGCCCATTTGCATGTGTTTATACAAATCCAAAAAGAGGCATTCAGATCAAAGGAGCATTTGAATTTTGACTTAAATAAGCTGCAAAGACTGATACTGCGAAGTGTCAATCATTTTTGCGGCCTTGTGATAACTTTTTGGTTGAAATGAAATAATCTCTTACACTACAGAAAAAATATTTTCACTGCAGATAAAAGATCAAATCTTAAAAACATGGCAGAAAGTTTGCTTCTTGACTAGACACGTGTAGCCTTTCTGAAGACAGCGCAGATGCAAATTGCCTGAATTTTATCTTTGATTTCTATTTTCAGGTAAGATTTTTGTCATATTGTGAAATACAAAAAGCAATGAAGAATTTCATGTGCTGAACCCTGCATCCAACGTAAATATAGTTAAAACTGAGAAACGAAAACGAAATCAATAGCTTGGATGATCAAGTACTGTATACACTGATTCCGTAACTTCTCAGTAAGCACAAACAATTATAACTACAATTCCCACTCCATTACATATCTGTGTCCTGTTAAAGTATATGCTCTTTGTGCATGAATACACAGAATTAAATTCCCCACAAGCTTCTACTCTTTGTGCTGTGGCTGCAACTGGTTGTAACCATGATAAATTTGTTTTATTAGTTCATTACTTTTCAGAATTTTGCCATCATAAGAACTTCTACTCCTAAAGAAGTTGGATCCCCCACCAGGTTTATGAATTGGCCTTACAGATTTCTTGACCTTTTTGAGAAGGTGCTGAAGTAACAGCAGCTACTTGAAAGATGTGGGAACAAACTATGCCAGTGCCATAATAGTGATAGCTAATCATTAGCAAATGTACTCAAACAGTGCTTGAGCGTGGCACCCTATCCAGGATAATATAGTTTCTTCTAAAGCAGGTAGAGTGAGTACTCTCCCACAGCAATCCCACTAACTGGCTGTCTGGAGCTGTCTCACAGAACCATAGTGTATGGGAACTGCTGAGTCACAGCCTGAACCTCTGATGATCACCTGAGGTGAGCCTTGAGTCAGCCAGAGGAGCACAGGTGAAGGCAATTCACCTGTGCTACCGGAAGGGGTGGAGCCTGGCTGCACCTCTCCTAGACCTATTTAAGAGCTGACTGCCAGCAGGGAAGGATCTCTTCTGGAGATCCCCTCTTTTGGTATCTGCTGGTGAGCTCAACCCAAGGGTAAGCTCTTCCACTTATTCTCTTTTTGTGATCATTGTCTGCTTTGCCTTACTCTCTTGATTATATTGCAATTATAACATCTTGATATCTATTGATTATACACAATTATATTGTGACTATAACATCTTGGTTATACACATAGGCAACAGAGAAATTTGTTATTTGCCCCATCAGACCAGGCCACTGGACAACCTGTAAGCACAACAGGCTGATGATCAGTGGACAGGTCTCTACTTAGCTGCCTTTACAGAGGCTGCTGGTCAGCAGAAATATCTGTTTTCCACAGCAGTGCAATGACAGCACTGTTAGCTTGCGGCTCTTTGAATGACAGCAGGAAATCACGCTGGACTAACAGCAGCAATGTATCACAAAGATAACCTGTTCAAAGTGGAGCTATAACATTTTTCTGAGGCCTTTGGGGATGTACAGAAGGGTGAGGCCTCAAGTCAAGCAGTAGGTACCCTTGCCCTCCCCACTGAACCACCACCTCTATAGGAGAACACAGCTACACAGATAGTGGACATACCGAACCTGGAGTCCCCCATATCAGGGGCACCTGTTTCACAAGTGGATATCAGTTTCTTCTCCAGCACAGTAAAGCTAGGAAACTGTGGGGTTCATCCCTCTGTGGGGAGTCAAAGAGACCACATCACCCATAGGAGAAGTTGAAAAGTCCACATCTCCTGTAGCACGATTTCATTTTGGATTGAACAGTCGGGGCATGCAGCTTCAGCAAAGACCCAGAAGGTTTTACTTTGCTTAGAACTATAAAAGCCTCCAGTTAGCCATGAAAACGATGCAATAGCTAGCAGAATCTGATTGTTCACAGACAACAGCTGCTTCTGGGACCTTAATAACTCATTTGTTATGCTGCACCTTTTATGAGTGCAATTAAAAAGTTATGTCAACTTACAATGGAAAATGTGTTTCAATATTCAACAGCCTTATTTGTCCTCTCAAATATTCCTGTTACTACAACAACTTTGATATTACCTCAGGAGGTTTCTGATTCACTTCCCATCTTCTTTTACACTTTGATGGAACCTAAAAGTCGTAATCAGGATTAGACCACACTCTATGAAACTCCACATGTGCTAATCCTTTTTTAAAGCTAGTTATTACTCAGCCTCTGTGGGAGACGGCCCTTACCAAGCTTTTCAAGGACAAAGTAATTCCAGTACAGAATTCAGAACAGTGACATAGATATTCCTTTTTAACATTTTATGAATTGCAT